GGACACAAATTATTTTAATAACATCCTCCAAAAAAAATCCTCTTGCAAATGATCACAGATGGGCACCGCCAGCAACCCTAAATATTAATATAACGTCAATTAAGAACAAGTCAACGTGAGAGGAATAAACACAGCGGGAGGTTCAATTTGAATCGTCTAAACTATGCAGATAAAAGTTTGCTAATTTAGCAGTTTGTACACAGGACCCACAGCCAGTTTGTGCACTCATGAATGCCCACACAGACAGACTGTACACACACACACACACACACACACACACACACACACACACACACACACACACACACACCACATCACGTTTGCCTGAAGGGCAAAAGGGTGTAAGAGGGGAGGAGGAGACATATGGATTTCTCTGTCAACTCGTTGAGCGGAAACCCTGAGGGAGGCCTTGCATCCGCTTACACTACTGTGTTGGATGAATTAACCACATTCCCGCTTTAGGCGAGAACACACACACACACACACACACGTTACATTTAATAGTATATTCCCTAGAGACAGTATATTAAAAGTATATTTAGTAGTGAGATGTCTAATTTGAGGGGATGTCATGCCCCATTTGCAGTATTAACTTTGACACTTTTTTGCTGGGTAATCAGGCAAAGCTAATCTCGCATTGCAAAAAAAAAATAAACATGCAAAAGACGTAGACGTGTTGTTTGACCCCAAGTGAGAACCATGGGAACAGAAATTAGGGTGGACATCACAGAGATTAAGGCTTTCTTTATATCCTTAATCCTCAGTCTTTGACACGGAGACAAAGTCAGTCCCCTTCGCCGTTTCTCTCCGAGAGGCCCGGGGCCTCGGCAATGAGGAAGAAGCAACATCGCCCCAAGCTACATCCCAAAAGGAAAACGCCACAGAGAGGATTTACGGTGCGCGCTCATGAGTGGTCACGTAAACAACACTCGTTTCTTCTTGCTCAGTGGCCCCATTATTCTCCGTTTCTGTTTGAGGGATGAGTCACATCCACTTATTTTCTAAAAACACACCATTTATTCACCTACTCTTCTTTCTTCTAATGACTCGTTGGACTTCTCCCCGGTCTCTGGGTGCTTATCAACGAGCAAAAGACAAAAGCGGACTGTCTCCAACAGCTGAGAAAACATCTCCATGGCACGACAATGTTTGGGCATCGTCACGTCCTCACTTGTGATATTTATTTTTTTAAAAACTCCCATGAGGAGATGACGCTGTCCCTCGTATGCAGAATCTTTCAATTTATGTAATTTTGCTGCGATTCCTTACCAGTGTTCCTCTTCAAAATACTATTGAGATCTGGTAGATCCTCTCTTGAAACCGGTCGGAAAATTTTCTTTTTATTATTCTCTTTCATATGCAAAAGGTATTACAACGGCATGACATAATTGTGAGTAAATCATATGAATCCATAGTGAAAGTTTTTTGATTGCCTGATTCATGGCAAGCGCAGGAGGTTTGCTTAAAATCCACCCCCTACTTACTGGCTTCAATCTGTCAGCTCAATCACAAAAAAAAAATGGAAGGTCTGTATTGTATAAAGGAACTTACACCCCCCCAACCCCCCAAAAAGTGTTCCTTTGGCATGGTGAAAAGCACTTTTGAGAACATTTGTAAAGGATTCAGTCCTGTAAAAGACACGCATAACATGTTAATGTTAATTAATGTTAATAATTTCTGAATAATCAGAATTGAATATCCATTTCGAGAGTCCATTGATGGAGGGGAAATACTTAATGACTCTTGTGTCTGCCTGATGGTTGTCAAAGAAGAGAAAACCCAGAGACACAACCGGGGGCTTAAAGAGTCACAAGAGGCCGCAATTAAAGTAATCCCTACTCTTAGCTTCAGTGTCAAAGAAATGTCCGATCACATCCGAATCCAAACTCATTCCCGTTACACTGAGCTCTGTTTCCTCAAAAGGAAGTTAGGCAGCATCTGCGAACATAGTCCGTCATGGATGAACACCACTTAGTCCATCAACAGCGAGTGTCTTTGGTAAAAACCAACATAGTGTACAACACAGCGAGCAAGTACGAGCACGTAACACTGTTTTCAACCGGTGGGACTGCGTGCATACATTATTTCCCTTGGAGCAACACTTGAAATGTCTTAATAACCTCGAACAAGCTGAAGCAACTCTGCACATTCTGATGTGGTAACAAATCTCTTCCAAACCACTTCAGGCAAGATGCAACATATCACATAAGTGCTGCTGCTGTAGTCGATCGAGACAATGTTTTGTTTTTCACTGACTCTCCCTCACCCCAAAAAAAACAAAACGGTGACTTTACCCCAGAAGCATCTTAAAGAAACAAACCTGGATGGGGTATAGGATCAACGGCCGATGTGGTTGCACAAAAGGTGAAATACTTTCAAGTTTATGCAGAGAAAAGGTCTGGAGATGGGAGAGCCTGATAGACTTCACAGACTGTTGCTTTTGTACAACAGATGCGCTGATGCGCTGACGCTTACATCTGTCTCTTTAATAATGGAATGTAAAAGCATCAAGACAATACACGCATTGTGCGAACAAGGTGGACAAACAGGACCTGTGCACAGTGCAAAGTTCCGCACGAAACCAAACAAAGAGTTTGGCGTGGAAGAAGTTGACAGAGGTGCACAGAGCCCTGACCACAATCCATCGCAGCACCTTCAGAAAGAGTAGAAGAAGAGCTGAGACAGGGTTCTAAATATCGTTGATGCTGGAGAATCTGGACGGTTTTGGAATGAAATGTTCACATGTGGGTGCGATGCTCCGACGTCCACGTGGGTTCGCCATGTAGCGTACGGAATAATAAATCAAGGATACATATATTCACCCAGGGTGAGAGGTTACTAAAGGAGTTTGATGCACACGGTATCGAAAAGGAGGCTGAAGTTGAACCTGTACTTTGGGCTCGTATTACATCCTCGCCGGACAGAGGACGTCAAACGGATTTCGTTTTCGGTGGAAGCCGGCCCATTCATGCTGAAATTGGACCCTTCGGCGAGCAGCAGTCGGCTCTGAAGCTTTCGCACAGTGGAAATGTCACCTGTCACGCGCACTTATCGTCTGCCAGAGCGCCGCGCGTCGGCTCTGTGCCTGACGCCGTGGGTCTGTGCTTCAGCTGCCTTCATGCCCTGTAACCGGCATTAGCCGGAGAGACGAGGACCTGGCGCGGTCCAAACCCCCCCACATTAAGCAGCGTTGTTTGTATACAAGCCATAAGTGGATCGGGGATATGATGAGCTGCCCATTAGGCCGACGTGAAAGGGTATTTAATAGTGGTGGCCTATTTAAAATTCAAATACATAAGCACCATATTTGCTGTGTGCAGCCAACGGCGTTTATATATCAAAGAGCTGTGAAATCAGTTCACTGTACAGACGGTTTCTAGAGAGACGTTGAGAGTGTTGCTTTTTCAATGTGTAACTTCAAAGTTACTGTCCATAATAAGAAATATAGGCTCAGAGTGCTCGCTCTCTCAGAGGAAGAAAAAAAAAAACCCTCTCACTTAAAAGCGCACACTGTGACGGAGGCGAGGCGGAGAGGAGGACGCACACAGTTCATTTATTCTTTTTGATGGTCCATCCGGGTGTAGCATGTGAGCGGGCGGCGATGGCATCTTTCAATAACCGATTCAACTGCTGTCGCAACATGACAGGACGAAAATAAACGAAAAGGAGAAAATGCAAAGAACAGCGTGTCTTTGAGAAGGAAGACAAAGACACACATGAAAGGCGACAAGCGCGGGAGGACACGAGAGCAGGAGACAAAAGGAGACCGACTTATTGGATTGTATAGAATGGGGAGAGAAAAAAAAGAAGAAAAAAAAAAGAAGAAGAGTGGTTGTGTGACTTTCCATGTCCTCAAACTAATCCATCAGTGTTGATTCAACGCATTTAGGACCAAATGAACGAAAGGCCGAAGTGAATCAGACCTGCTGAAAGACCCGTTCATTGTGTAAACAATAAACTGGAAGCTGCACAGACAAGAACATCTGGATCCCAGTAGAAGGCTGCCCCCCTCGTAACCCGTAACCTGTCTTTACTGCTGGGAGGGATTCACGAGCAGACACGGCTCCGGACCTGTTGATTTCCCAGCATTCACAGCTCACATTCCTGACCTCCTTCTGTCACTCTTTGACTTGTCTCACCCCTCTGACCAACATCTACCCCCCCGCACCACACACACACACACACACACACTTCAACCCCCCTCGTCACGGTTTCTGGGCACACGCGGAACAGTCAAGTGTGATTCAGGAGTGATTTACAGGATTTACATTTTGACGAACGGGGGGGAAAGATGCTGCTAACGTTGTACTTGGAGTGCACAACTTTGTCCCCTGGACAATCTCTGCCTTCACGGCTGTGACATGAATGTGACCTGACGCAGCCATGAAAGCTGGCGCCCTGCAGAGTTTGGAATCTGGCGAGAAGGCCAAAAGGGAATGATAAGACCACTTTCCTCAATCTCCTGCCCCCCCGACGCATTTCTATATCTGCACCCCACAGAGACTGAAGCGGCGGGACAGTGACGGAGCCCGTCCTCCCTCCTCTCTTAAAGTCATGTTCACAACGACAATACCACTGTCAAGGGACGTTTTTTGTGATGAGCCACTAAAGTCGGGACTGTTTGGCTAAAACTGGGCTTCCACGAGTAAATTCTCACTGGTATCTGCAGCCCCCCCCCCCCCACCACCTCCCTAAGGCACACTGCTATGTTTGACACGAGCATCACTTCCTTTGCCACAAGGCAGAAAGTAGATCACAGATAACCGGGGAATACCCGATCAATACTGTCAGCACAGCATGACCTCGCGTCGAAGGGGGGCGCACAAAAAGCCCAATCCCTGCCATGATGGACTGGTAAGTGAGAATGAGTAGAAAGACCAGTGAAGTACTGGTTTATTCTCTCCAAACATGCAATTACATTGATTTAAAAATCAAGTTTGCTGTATGAAAGGTACGGCTGAGTCGGCATTCAGCTTAATATATTTGGTTTTTTTACTTACTGTGCACGGAGCCTTGCGGCTGACTGGCGACTTTGGGTGGGCTGATCCTGCTCTTGGGAGGGAGCATCTCCGCGTCCTGGCCCTTCTCACCTGGACCCTGGCCGGGGGCCGGGGTCTCGGGCTGGTTCTCGCTCTGTGCTTTGTCCTGCGGCGCGGCGGCCTTGAAGGACCTCTGTCTGCTCAGGATGCCGTCGCTTCCAGCCCTCATCAGCTTCTCCCCGACGCTCAGCACCCGGGCTCGACCCGTTGCTCCGGGGCATTCCTTCCTGGAGGGGGCCAGCTTGGATCGGGCCCCGATCGACGGCGGCCGGGTCAGCCTGGAGGCCTTGGACATCCTTCGGGGGGGGGGGGGGTCGACGGATCAGTGGAGCCCCTCAGGCGGTGACTGCGGCGGCGTCCCGTGGGCAATCCAGGGCTTCTCGGGCTCCCAAGTGAGTGTGACTCCCCCCCAGCTGCAGCGAGTTGTGACTGGTGCAGGTAGGCTGCGAGGGCCAGAGGGAGGGCACTTTTGGGAAGGCGAGCTCAGAGGGTGAGGGGTGGAAGAGGAGGGAGGGAGGTGGGGGTGTTAGGGTTAACAGATCCTTGGAAGGTGTTCTCTTCTCCCCGCGTGGCCTCTCGGGAGCGTCCTCCAAAGCAAACGGTGCGTGAGTGCGCGTCTGGATGTGAAGGTGTGTGTGTGTGTGTGTGCGCTGGTGAATTGGTGTGTCTGTGTGTGTGTGTGTGTGTGTGTGTGTGTGTGTGTGTGTGTGTGTGTGTGTGTGTGGATAAACCTGTGGAGTGACAGGACGTGCCGTGTAAAAACACAAACAGAAACTCAGGTCTCGGATGTCAGCGCATTCCGGCTGTTTAATCCCCTCTGTGGCTCGCTCTCTCTCCCCGTCTGTCCCACTCTCTCCCGCTCCATCTCTCTCTCTCTCTCTCTCTCTGGCTTTTTGGAAATGTCCTTCCTGCTCCCCCCGTTTTCTTCACTTACTGCGCTCGACAACTTCTGGCTCCTGCCTCGTGCCTGATCATCACCGCTGTCCTCCTTTGCTCTTCTCTCCTCTCTCGTCTTTTGCTTCGGTTCACTCGCTCCTCTTCGCTGATGCTCAGCGGGAAACCGTTCCGCCGCTCCGGCGGACCACAGACAGAAAAGATTTGGAGACAGCGAGAGGAGGAAAGAAAAAAAAAAAAAAGAAAAGGCAAAAAGAGAGCGCGAGGGAGATGGAGAAAGTGCTGGCAGGAGGGTTTTGCGGAGGAGCGCCTTCTCTTCAGGTGCAGCCGCGCAAGCTGTTCCAGATGTGCGCGCAGCGCTTCACGTCATCAGCCAAGCGCTCAGAGCCACTCCGGTACAATCACTGGCTTAACCTCGTCCTATTTCCTCCCCCTTTCTTCATCTTCTTTTTTTCCTCGGCCTGGATGTCTTGTCCCTCTGCTCCAGTTTGTACTGCTCACGTGTGATGAGATGTTCACGCTACCAGAGGCAGGAATGCACACGTGCACAACACAACGCACCAAGCCCTTCACTCACTGCTGGAATTTAGAAGGGAATTAAACAGCGCAAAGAAGGGGAGCGTTACAGCATGTGTGTGTGTGTGTGTGTGTGTGTGGGGGGGGAGGGAGGGAGGGGACGGGGGGGGGGGTTGTACAAGCGTCACACAATGGAGATGTTCTGATCTCCTGTGCCGAAGACACCAGCTGTGAAAAGGAAGAAATAGAGAGCAGAAGTTGGCGAATGGAGAGAAAGTGAGGAGGAGGAGGAGGAGATTAGGGCTTTTTAAGACGCTTCTTCCTCGTGTCCAGCAAAACAAAGTCACCTCACATCTTCCTGTGAAGCAAAAAGATGTATTTCTTCTTTTAACAAATTGTTTAATACTATAGTCTGAACCACAGAGATGCCCTCAGCACACACTGATCATTGGCAGACAGGAACACACAAGTGTCGACCATTGTAGGGCAGAAAGAGCAAAAACAACAACCACAAAAGAAAGATTTTATGGCCATTGTTTGTCTGTTTTTCAAAGGAAGTGAGAACCGGTCTGTTTCTCTGTCATAAACGCACATCTTGCGGACACAGACAGTAAACCACATTCCTGTAAACTTGTATAATTCATTATCTCTGCACACAGGTCACCCGGTTCAGAGTTGCGAGGTTGTAACTGCGGTTTGACACACGCCGCAGCATCTGAAACACGTGACGCAAACGCATAGGGACACCGTTCCGTGCTTACCGACTAAACACCACAAGATGGATTACAGCGAGCGAAAGGATCAACCGTGTCCCGGCGAACGCGTCGCTGAAAGAGCAACGATCCCCCGCGGGCCGGACGGCGGCCTCCGTTCCGCACGGGGGGGGGACGGGCGCTTCCTCCCTCCGACCTGGTGCCGTGGCGCTCGGATATCAAGAAATGTCCCAGTTAAAGGCCAGCGTGGAGAAGCCAGATTTAATATTTAATATGCGCCGCCAGGCTTTATCTACTGCTCTGTTTGTAACCTGCTTGGCATGATGCAGCCCCCCCCCCCAACCCCCCCACCCCAATTGCCTTTTAGACTACTAAGCCCTCGGAACGCGATGACATCAGTGATTGTACGATATGAAATATTCACCGTATTGCCACATATCTGTGTGGCTTGAGATAAAGAGCAAAGCAGATTGACCTACATACTTTACCAATGAATAGTTGGCCGACAAAATCAGAGGGGGAAAAACCTCATGGGGACCCTCTGCGTGTTTGATGGATTTTGGCAAGCGGGGGAAAAAAAAAAAAAAAAAGGCAAGATACAAACATCTCCATGAGATTAAACATTAGAATTGTGCCAGATTATAGTTGTGCGTCACCCGTTTTGCTGAGTTTAAGGCATCGAAGCCCTGAGGATTACGTCAAAACTAAAAAAAAATAAAACTCACTCCATATAGGTTTCAAAGAGTGAATCTTACTATGGTTAGTGGCTACGTGTGTGTGTGTGTGTGTGTGTGTGTGTGTGCATGCTGGGAGTAAATGAAGGCCCTGTGTGTGGATTGGATGCCTCCCAGACTCTGAGCCATGTATAACTGCACAGTCGGCAAACAGCGGGAACCTGGTTCAAAGGCTTTAAATGACATAGCATTTAGGAGTCGATATAATTGGAGTTTCCTTATTATGCCTGTGATTTTCTGCAATATGATAGATCATAAAGTACATCCAAAGTTTCAAATAACTAACCCTGACAAACTGTGCAGGCATGGCACCCATTCGCATTTCAAACAATCTACCGCAATTAATTCAACTTCAAAAAGCTAAACTTGGGGAAGATGGGAGTTCAAATTGTCTCCGGCGATAAAGACCTGAATGACAAAACGACCTCCCGCGGCTGTCTGAGCAGCTCGTCCCGGCTGGCGGAAGGCGTCCTAGTGCCAAGTCGCAGTTTAGGACGATCGGTTACGAGAAGACGACAGTGAAGAAAACCTCTGACGCGCTCGAGTGCTTCTGCAACATACGTGGACATAGTTAAGAAGGACGGAGGGATCAGCAAGAATCATCTGAGCGCCTCTTTGGAATTTTTCTAATTAACTGACTTTGCTGTCCGAGGGTTAATATTAAACTAGGAAAGGGAGAGGAAGGGGGGGAGGGGGGGGGGCGCATAGGTCACAAATGACTCCCTGAACGATTATCTAATGAAAACAGTGGAGCATTTATCAGCCAAACAGCTGGATATGTCCATGACACTTTACGGTGAGCTGGAAAACAAAAGGCGATATGCAGGTTCTTCAAAGTCAACGTAAAAGACTGACACGTTGGCCCCTTTCTATGCAGCGTGAACTAGCTTTGAACATGATGCTCTGACACCCTAACAGATGTGGCATCATCTGGAAAATATGGAGCAACATTAGCATGTATTTGGAGTCATAGTTCTGGCCATGAACCGGCCGTCCGTCCTCGACCAAAGAAATCGTTGCCAACACTTTAGAGGAATTTATTCAGCCACCGAATAGTCGATTAAAATGACCGATTTCAGGAGGCATCACTTTAAGCCTCGTCTTACCGGAGACGTGCTCATCTAAAAAGACTTAGGAAATAAATCTGAGTTGACTTAAAAAACAACAACAGATTAGACAACTAAATGACTAAAACAGAGCAGTTCTGTTCGTATTCCCGCATTCAGTCTTTTTTTTTTTTTTATCTCTTTAGATCACCAGACTTTGAGAAAAAGATTTCCCTCTTTAGCAGCTAAACGCTCCAAAGCGCTCACCAGCTTATTGTCCCGCTGAGTTTGTGTGCCCATTGTGATGAGCATGTGGTGTACAGTGTGCTTATTAGAGCTTTTTCACTAGAAACATCTGGCTGCCGCAGCTGGAAACACCTCAAACGGCCCTCAGACCCGGATGGTGAATATCTGTGGATTCATCACCATGAAGATACTTTCCTTTCAGAGATCTGATCAATTGGTGGACTGGAGGTGGACTGCAAGGTTCGGGGGATTTGGGAAGCAGTTGGGGGGGGGGGCAGAGGGGGAGGGGGCAGGATGGGTGAGCCGTGTACCTCTCTGCTGAGGATTAAGGTTGAGTGTGTTTTCCGAGCCCTCGGGGGTTGGTTGTTTCTTTCCCTACATTCCATCTCCGAGCTCCCCCCCCCCCCCCCCCTCCATCACTCCCTCCCTCCCATATCATCATGAGTCATCACTGACTGTAACATTTGCTCAATATCAGCCGCTGAATCAGTTTCTGAAAGCACGCACGCTCCACTAAAATGCACGCATGCACAACAGCGGCACGGAGTGTGGAGACCAGTGCAGTAGAAGGTGGGAGGGTGGGCGGGGGGGCGGGGGGGGCACCGTAGTGCAGAAAGCCACAGGATCGAGGCCGGGTTGCAGCTGTCGTCCACGGTGACGCAATCCCTGTCTGGACCGCAATACCATCAGATCGGTCTACCAGAATAGATTGTGTGCGTTTGTCTCAAAAAGCGAATCCTGGTCATATTTTCAACGAGGTGGCAGCTACACTGGAAGTTCCGCCCCGAGCAAAGAATCCATATTTCATTAGAGACGCGTTAGTAGTTCACCGGCTCTACAAATGAACATCGCAGTGTGAAGCGCAACGCGCTGCATCTTCAACATCCACAAACGACCCCCCTGGCTGCTTTTTCCCCCCCACCCTCTTTTCCTTCTTCTTCTTCTTCTTGTGGCCGTTGACTCAGAAGGCGGAAGAGGAGTCACCAAGGCGACGAGACTCGCCGACAGTCGGGACCAATTAGTCTGAGCGCTCGGCAGCCGCATCGTCTGCTGCGATAAGTCACGGCGCTGACGGACGAGCTGCCACTCGGCCGGCGAGTCAGAGGAGACGGACGAGCGGTCAGGACGCCTCGCCGTTTTAGACCTTTTAGTCCTTTTAGATGCAAGCAATCACTTGAATCTAAAAGCTTTCAGGCTAAAAGTGTTGGAGCTTGATTTGCTACATTTATTTATTTAAAAAATAAAAGAAATCAGCTTCTAAAAGAAGAGATCTGATAATGAACAATGTGTTGCACAAAAGCATTACACTCACAAACCATGTTTTGTCAAATGAAAAATTCAAATCAAGGAGCATTCTGGGAGTTCACGTCTCGGCCGGAGCTGCAAATCATCTACGATTGTTGCTTTAACAATAGATAATGTTTTGAAATGCTGAGTCTGCATCGGCTGATGGACAGTTAAAGGGTGCGTTTGGGTTTGTTCAAGTAATTAGCTTATGAATCAAAGCAAAACCACACACACACGCAGTGTTTTACAATTATTTGGCCACACAAATGACTGATTACTTGTTGAGCGAGTTGTTTTCCCATTTTTGGGATATTATAATAACAAGTAGACAAACCAAGCCGATGAGCAGCGACGGCGGTTTTATGTAAAATGAATTTAACTTCCTACAACAACTGAATAATAAATATTTTCACATACACATTAATCCTTAGAGATTAGAGGCTAAAAACCCAACAAAAGTTGTGGCGGTTCACACGCAACAGAAACGGCGATAAAACACAATAGATATTAAGTTGTTTTACAGCGGTCAGTGGAAAAGGGGGGGGGGTTGTCTCATCGTGAATTCTTCCTCCTAACGTCCCGTCTCTGGGGCCCCCCTGTGGCCCCCCTCATGAATCACTCCTGCTTCCTACCCTCGTCGGGACTGGTGAGCGTTCAGGCGGTTTGGAAACCGAAGTGAGGCTACGCGTGGCGCTCGCAGCCCTTTGCTCCGTCCTTTTACAGACAAACCAGCACTCAGCATTCAGACCCAATGTAAATAAGAGGCTTCTCCGCTCCCTTTATGGCTTATTGATTTTTTAGTTCGATGCCCGGCTGCAGACAGAAATAGCAGAAAAAGAGGAGAGGGAGGGACGGAAAGGAGGACGGAGAGGATTGTTACGGAATATGAAGCAGCAGCGTGTCAGAGGCACATTAATGGCACCTAACACGCAAACGCAAGCCAGCCAGGACGCCGACGTACAGATCTTCATTAGTGTGGAAGTTGTGTCATTCCTCGTCGAGCATCTCGTGCGTG